ATATTCCTATGCATGTCTGAGTGTCAGTGAGTGCGTGTGAGTGCATGTCTGAGTGTCTGTGAGTGCGTGTGTGAGTGCATGTCTGAGTGTCTGTGCCACAGTCCTACGTGCTACGACTTCTAGGATTGCGAGCGGGTCCCCTCGCAATCGGTGCGATTGTACTGTTTGGATTGTGAGGAGACCCTCCCGGCGCGCTCACTCACAAGCGCTCGCGGCTGGAGCGATTTGGGAGCGCCCTCTGTGCGCTGCTAGCAGTCCTTGGATCTTTGGTACGATTGTGAGCGCAGCCGCTCATAGTCCTACCAGATGTAGGATTGCGAGGCTCCTGCTCGCAATCGGAGGTATGTTGCTAGGATTGTGGGCTAATAAGCTGCTCGCAACCCTAGAGTTTGCTCGGATTGTGAGCGCGCTGGTAGTAGTCGTGGGCATCACCAGACACCAGTCACATTGATTGTGAGCGGAGCTGCTCATAGTCCTAGAAGACGTAGGATTGCGAGCGTGGGTGCTCACTCTCGCACAGAGTTGCTACGTACGATTGCGAGGAGTGCTGCTCCCAATCCTTCGACTTCTAGGATTGAGAGCGAGGCTGCTCTCAATCCTAGCCTTCTACAAAAGAAGGTTCATTCACCCCGTGTTTGTTATGACCCCCCCCAATGAACACACCAGTGAGGGAGGGCGAGACGATTGAGGGGTCCCGTACCACGCGGAATCGACCCTACCCGGGTACAACCTGGCGAGGTACTTCCAGCCTGCTGTGGGAACAGCTGACGCAGTCTCGCCGAGGCTCGCCCCAGCAGGTACAACTGTATCCAGTGCTCAAGTGCTCAAGGTTCACCCCCCCGGAGCGTCAAGGACGTGCCCGCCCTTTAGCTCACGCGCCTTTTCTAGTTCGCCAGCGAACATGCTGGACGACGAGACAGATCAACCGGCCGCCGCGTGCTGCTCGTGGCCGTGGTGTATTCGCGCACAAGGCGCAAAGGCCAGCAAGGCAACCGCACTAGCACAGCAACGGTGGCTGGCTGGCGATGCCGACTGGAAAAATGCCGAGGAGTCGTCCACCTTTGCGCGGAACTGCGACATCAGTCAGACACACCTGGTCAAGGCGGCCGATGCAAGGTGGATCTCCTCCTCCCACTGCTTTCAGTGCGCTCTCAACACCATGCATGAGTGCGACGATTTTGGCGATGACGTACACACCTTCCCAGACATTCGCAGGAAGTGGCTGTCTGCAGAGGTGAGCGGCAGCGTTCACTACCCGCGCGTCCGCTACATTGTGGACTATCCGCCGAACACGCCGCGACTGCCCTACCATGACCACCCCGGCGGCGAGGAGTACATCGTCTTTACCGGCCGCTTCGCGGACACAAACTTCGCGCAGGCCTCCACCGCTGCCGCCACCGCCTCGACCGCCATCCTCAACCGGCGCCCACCCCGCCGCAGGTAGAGGCACCCGCGCTGGTGCGCTACCCCATCGGCACGCACCACGCGGCGATGACTCAGCCCTTCGAAGGGCGCACCGAGATCCTCACCTGGTGGGGCTTGATGCAAGCCACCTCCGCCACCGAGGTTGCGCAGCACGTGGCGCTCTGCCCACGCCTCCTCGTTCCACGGCAGCGCGAGGCCAGCTGGATCGACGGGCCACGGCGTGGGTGGGCCATCAGCAAGGACGGGCTCGAGACTCGGATCGAGCGCTGGGCACCACACGCGAAGAAGGCGCGCCTCCCAACGCCGAAGGCAGGGTTGGATCTAGCCGGTCAACACCTGCCTGTGTGTCCAGGCGCTTTTGTTCCGGAGACCTATCAAGGAGATCTACCTGCTGCGCGGGTCGCTGTCGGCGGCGCAGCGCGTGGAGGGTGCCACGGCGGGCGAGGCGTTGGGTCTATTGGCGGAGGGAGATTGGATCTGCTTTGCGCACGAGGTCTCGCAGGTCCCCCACAGCCGCCGCCCATAAACTCGCCAAGGCTGTGGGGGCGTCTGTTCATACGCTTGCCATAATGTAGGTGGATGCCGCCGCCGGGCCCGACGGCGCGACGTTGCTCGTCAAGGAGCTGCTGCCCTACGACAGCTGGCGGCGGCACGTGCTGCAGGACGTCAGGCAGTCCTGGCACAGCTGGTCGGGTGCGACAGGCCGCGCGTCTGGCCGTGGCCACATGCCCGCTGCCTCACTCGTCGAGCCGAGCAAGTCGTCGCAGAGGAATCACCTTCGCTTCTCACGATCGCGATCGACCTCCTCTGTGGAGGAGGGGGGGAGTGTTGCGCCCGGCACAGTAGTTCCAGTAGCCAGTAGCAGCCCAAGCAGCGCTTGCGCGCGATCATGAGACCCATGAGCATGACTGTATCTATAAAAGGGTTACGCGGGTTGCCCGGCGCGCCCGCTTCGGATTCTCAGCTACATGGAAATTTCATGTTCGCGGCGTGCATTCATTCTCGCAATAACTTAAGGAATAACGGATATGCCAGGGTCGCTGCAGCCTGCACGCTGCCACGGACGCTGCCGACGCTGGACGGCGCGAGGACGGACAACAATGCCGTCTCGTACGGCTCTACGTACTACGATACACCCCCCCGCCGCCCCGGGCGCCGCACACATCCGATGTGTGGACTACTATTACACAACGATCTCTCTCCCCCGGCGCCTTTTAGTCCCCAAACACACACTCTCTTTCAGCAGAAGCCTGGCCCCAGCGGCGTCACGCGCACGCCTCTCTCGATCATGCGGCAGCGGTGCTTGAGCAGGCGCGGCGCGGCCGCCGAAGCGTTGTTGCGCCAGACCGGGCTCCACAGCCGCTCGGCGACCGCGCTCGCTCGAGGGAAGGCGCGCGGCTCGAGGTTGGTGCGGTCGATGTGCTCGCCCCACAGCGGCGCCTCGCCGCCGAGCACCTTGGCAGCCTTGGCCGAGCCACGCAGGTCGAAGCAGTGGCACTTGCCGTCCCGCCACGGGCCCGAGGGGCACGAGCACGCGCAGGCCGCCTCGTGGCCGGCGGCGTCGTACACGCACGTCTTGTTGGTCAGCGGCTCGCGCGCGTATGCCTCCTCCCACGCGTTGAGGCTGGCTGTGCCGTCCAGGTACCAGCCGAGCGTGACAAGTGCCTCGAAGCCGCTGTGGCCGGTCGGCCACGTGGCGTCGGGCCGGCCGAGGTAGCCCTGCCCGGTGATGGCGCTCAGGTTGGCCCAGTTCCACGCCGGCTGGAGCCACTGCTCAACCACCAAGTCTGACGGCAGACGCGCGCTGGGCGGCGTGGGGTTGGCGGCCGTCGGGCCGTAGTGGTCCATCGCCTCCTGCCACGCCACCGCCGTCTTGCCCGACTTTGCGACGAGCGCCGTGAGCCTTCCGATGTACTTCGCGGTGAGCTCCTTGAAGCCGGCGTCGTCGCGCGCGATCCCGCGGCGCTGCATGTACGAGACGACCGTCGCGCTGCTGTTCCAGCACGCAAAGTCCACCTCACGTGTCCAGCAGAACGACTCGGCCGGCGGCACAATGTGTGGCCTCATGTCGGCTCCATGAGCAGTGCGTGTGTGCGCAGTGCGTGTGTGTCTGTGTGTGTGTGTGTGTGCGTGCGCGTGCGTGCGTGCGTGCGTGTGCGTGCGTGCGCGTGCGTGCGTTCCGTCCTCGGTGCTGCGAGGTGTGTTGAGACTGAAGCCCACCTCGTCGGCGCCGATGTGCATGTACTCGTCCGGGAAGAGGGAGGCAACCTCGGCGAAGAGCGCCTCGAGCAGCGCGAACGCCGCGTCCGACGTGGGGTCGAGCGTCTGACCACGCATCCCACAGGACGTGTCATGGACATGCCCCCGCCGCGGTCCAAGGGGAAGCGAACGGTGACGGTGCCTGGCAGCGGGGCAGCGTGGCGTTGGGGTAGCCGACCGACCAGGAGGTTGCGTGGCCCGGCGAATCCAGCTCGGGCACGACGCGGATCCCGCGGTCCGCCGCGAAGCCGACGATCGTGCGCACGTCGTCCGCGGTGTAAACCAGCGCTGGCGAGTATGCGCCGCGTGCCAACGCGGGCGTCGCCTGCATTCAGAGCTGTCCTTTCCCCTTGATTCACACCGCTTCTCCTTGAGGCGCGACCGTCGCCGCGGGAAGGACTGCGTGTCGGAGATGTGCTAGCAACTAACTCCTCGGGCCTTGGTGAGCAGCGGGAAGGACTGCGTGTCGGAGATGTGCTAGCAACTAACTCCTCGGGCCTTGGTGAGCAGCGGGAAGGACTGCGTGTCGGAGATGTGCTAGCAACTAACTCCTCGGGCCTTGGTGAGCAGCGGGAAGGACTGCGAGTCGGAGATGTGCCAGTGGAGGACGTTGAGCTTGTTGAACGACATCGCGTCGAGCATCGCCGTGATGGCCTCGACCGGCAGGTAGTGCCGCGCCGAGTCGAGCATCAGCCCGCGCCACCGGAAGCGAGGCGCGTCGCTGATGGCGAGCCGCGACGCGTTGATGACCGCCGAGCATTTGCCGCGCAAGCCGCTCCCTCGTGACACGAGCTGTGAGAACGTCTCCAGGCCGTGCAGTGCACCGTACACAGTGTGCGCGCGCAGCGTCGCCGCGGGCGGCGCCCCCTCGATCGACAGCGCGTAAGACTCATCGGTGCGGCGCGAGAGCGTGAGGTCGTCGGAGGTCACGTAAATGGCAAGCGCAGTAAGCGTCGGGCTCGCGGCATACGCGGCCACGGACTGGTGGAGATGCGGTCGCGCTGCTGGAGTGAAGATTTTGGCCTCCGTCCGATGGATAGCTCGTCGCAGTCGCTCAACCGCGGGCGGCGAGAGCGTCGACTTCACGCTCACCTTGAACGCAGCCTCCGAGAGGCACAAGAACGCGCCGGATGCGCTGGCGTTGGCCGGCGCGGGCCAGAGCCCGGAGAGCGCGTCACCAGGCTGCGGTCCGAAGGGGACGTCAAAGGCCTGTACCGCCGAGCATAGCACTGCGAAAACGACCATCGCGCACTTTCGCTTCTCAATTTCTTTCTTTTAATCAAAATTGAAAATTCACACCCGACGGCCGACGCTGGAGGACGCCAACAATTGCAACCCGATTGCGCCGAGGCGCCCGCCTGCGCTTCGAATCACAGCTAGACGCGCACACACAACCAACACATGTCACCGATCCGCCGCGACACCGCAACATTATTCGCCTCTGAGCGGCACCTCCGCACAACGCCACAAAAGCCTGCATGCGATTTCCGCCCCGACAGCCTCTCCGCCCTAGTCTCCGCCCCGACAGAAGTCAATAAATCAGCACCGCCGCCCCGTCTTAAGCGCCGCGGCGAGGAGGGCACGCGACGCGCCACTGCCCCGCCTCACACCACGGCGAGCAGCGCCATCATCGCCAGCGTCGAGCCTACTCGGCGAACGGGTGCGGCGGGTGAGGCGGGAGCACGCGGCGGCGCGGCCTCCTCCTCCGCTGCGGCGCACCGAGCAGCGCCCGGCCCTCGTTGAGAGGGACCTGCCGCGAGGGGGGGCGAGGTTGAGAGATTGGTAGGATGTCTGCTGCGAGGGGCATGTCTGTTGCGAGGGGCATGTCTGCGGCCCGCGCCTCTGCGACGGCGTCCGCAAACCCGTCGATGGCGCGCCTCACGGTGCCGTCGATGCCCGCCGACACCCCGGCAGCCGCAGCGGTGCGGCATGCCCACTTCGGGGAGGTGACGGGAGCCTTGGCGGCGGCGGCGGCGGCGGCGGCGGTGGCGGCTGCGGCGGCGGCAGCGGCGACGGCTGCGGCGGTGGCGTCTGCGTCAGCGGCGGCGGCGGCGGCGGCCGCGGTCTGGGCGGCGACGTCGCTGTCTTGCGAGACTCTGCACTCATCTGGCGAGGAGGAGCCTGCGGGCGGCGTCGGGGAGGAGAGGAGGGGAGGAGCGGTGGGGAGGAGAAGTGGGGCGGGGAGGGGGGAGGCGCGTGGGGAGATCGGGGAGGAATGGTCCCACCCACACCTCCGCCGGAGCCGCCCGAGGGCGAGCCCGAGCCGTCGGCCAGCGTCCTGCGGATCGGGTCGACGCAGGCCGCATCCAGCGCGACAGCGATCGCCGATCCGTGGAACTCGGCGCCGTCAAAGAGCAGCGCCGACCGGGCGCTCGCGCCGCTCTCAAACGTGATTAGTGCGGTCGTGCCGTCTAGCAGGACCTTCTCGACGTGGCCGTGGAAGGCTGCGGCGGGCGCGGGAGGGCACGGTGGCTGCGGACTGTGGAGGGCAGCGGCTGCCAGCTTAGAATTACACGAGTGTCGTGTCGTGTTCTGGTCCCGCACCAAAGTAGGTGGAGAGGTCCTCCCGCGAGGCGTCCGCCGGCAGGTTCTCGACGAGGACTGTGCAGCTATCTGCCATCGCACAGGCAAAGGCGCGCCGAGAGTGTGTGTGTGTGTGTGTTCGCTCACGCCGCGCCGAGAGCTATGAGAGTCTTACAACCAGACCGTCTTGAGTAACCGGGCATAAGCCGCCAGTGGCATTTCTTTCCACCCAAGAAGCCCGTCCCGGGGCGACCGAATATTCATTCTAGCCGCAATGCCTATTAAAAATAATCGGGCAACTCCGCCTCTACGTCAGGGTCCAGCGGCTCATCGCAACGCGCGCTGTCGACATCGCTGGCTGCATCGTCATCGGAGCTCTCGTAGTCAAGGTCTTGCTCTCTCACAGTGAGCCCTAAGCTCACCATGAAGTCCGCGAGCCGGCCCGTTTGTGCCGTTTGCCCCTCGAGCGGGAGCACCCACAAGTGGGGGAGTGTGGGGTCACTGTACTTGATCGAGGTGTAGTGAAGTGCAGGGAAGCGTCGGAGTAGCTGCGTAAGGCAGTTGCCCTGCTCTAGCCTGGCCTCGCTTTCAACGATCGCGATGGATGGCGGCAGCGGCCCGTCCGGGCCCTCGAAATCTTCGCTGCTACCGAGCACGATGGCCCGATCGCTGACCGCGCGGCGCGTGGACAGGGCGCCGATGGAGCAAGCGACGATGGCGCCGCGGGCTGATGGTGTGCGCAGTGCAGCTCGCCGTCGCGCAGCGGCTGCGCGTGCACGTTCTCGGAGGAGCTCGTCACGGTGCAGCGCGCGCCGGACTGCGTCAGCCCCACGCAGCGCACGCGGTGGTGGTGGCAGTAGGGGCTGCCGCGACGGAGCGGGGCGGCATCGGCATAGCAGCAACCGCTCCACACTCGGCATCGGCCCTTGCCGTGCTTGCGCTGCCCTGCGCACTGCACCCCGGTGAACTTGTCGGGGTGATGGTGGCCGCAGTACCGCTCGCCGCGGCGCAGCGGTGCCGCGACTGCGTACGGGCTATTGCGATGCACCCGGCATCGCTCTGTCCCGCCGCTCTGGCGCGTCATCCCCTCGCATTGCCCCTCCGTTGACCACACGCGCGGCACCACCGCGTCGGTCAGCGCAGGCTGGCCCGGCGGCGGCGGCGGCGGCAGCAGCGCTGGCGGCGCGGCGCCATCTGCGTCCAAGCCACACTCGGGCAGCGGTGCGCTGACGGCCGCGAACGCCGCGGACACCCACGGCTGCGACGGCTGCAGCAGCGCCGAGAGGCTACCACTCTCGCGCCGGCGGCGCTGCTTCGAGGCAACACTCTGTGCGCCGGCTGCCGCGACTGCCACAGCGTCTGCATACCGAGCATGCGCTGCCGCCGCAGCTGAGGCCGCGCGTGCCTCTCCGATCGCATCAGCCGTGGTGGCCCGCTCGGCCGCCGCCGCCCATCCAGCTTTCGCAGCCCGGGCTGTCAATGTCCGCGCGAAAGCTGTAGCTGCAAGAGCGTCTGCCTCGGGCATGCGCCGCATCCGGTTCGCGTCAACCTGCGCTCCCAAAGCCTTGCTGCGCCAAAATGTATATGCTTGCACGTGCGTGGAATCGTCAGGAAGCGCCCCCCACGGATTGAAGCCCGCCGCCTTTGCACGTGTGAGGTTTAGCTCCATGAACTGCAGCGTGCTCCGTACCTGCTGCCCCGCTCTCGCTGCATCCCGAGCGTCGCGACGGTGCTGCTGAGCGAGCGACTTCTCGCGCTGCAGCTCCCGGCGATCGCGACGTCGCTGCTCCGTGTTGGGGTCGGCTGGGCGGCCGCGGGGCCGCTTTGCTGCGGGTTGCGCAGCGGGCGAAGCTAGGGCGGCGTCCGACACGACCGTTTGACGCTGCAGTTGTCTCTCCGCCTGCCGCTTGAGTGCCACACCTTGCAGCCGCGCCTTCTCCTTCGCGCGCCGGCGCTCCTTCATGAAGATCTCGTACGTGTCGTTTGGCGGCTCGTCGCCAAACTGCACCGGCCTCGTCTCCGTCCAGAGCAAGTACTCGCGGTAGCGCTGTGCTGCGGCCGGAGAAGGGTTCTCGCGCCGCGCTTGCTGTCTACAAGCCGAGACCTTGCGCAACCGCTCACGCTCGCGCTCTCGCCGCGTACTCGATGCAGGGACGTCGTCTGGAGCGTTCGCGTGGCGACTGGCGGCCGCGCAGCCCTGCGTGCCAAAAGTGCGTGACTCCATTTCCTTCTAGAGGCGTCTGGATGCAGTCTTGGGTGGTGAGCTATGAGAGGGAAAAAACGACAATGCGACGAAACAACCCGTCATGGCCCTGCGACCGCGCATCCCATTTTAAACCGCATGGTCAGCGCGCGCGCGTAAAATCGCGATTCGCGTGCCTTGTAATTCGCTCTGATGACTTCATCGAGAGGCCTCGCGTGTGAGTGAGGTGTGTGAACTGCGTTGATGTCGGCGTCTCGACGTGTGTGTGTGATGTGATGGGTTCCGCTGCCGGCGTCTCGCGACTCGCGACTCGCGTATACCCCCCGCACGTGTGTCCTTTGTTTTGGTTGGACACTCATACAAAACCTAACAGCTCTAGAACAGCGGCTCCGGTCGCCTGTTGTTACCAGCTACCACTACTAGGTGCGGCGGTTTAATTAAAGTGGTGGACAAATGCGAGTGTACACATGCCCTAGTCCGAGAACGCCCGCCCAGCCGCCCAGGACGCCCACATGCATCCGCGCTTTTGAATGCCCCTGTCCGTCCGCCTCTCCCTCTCGGCCCGCGCCCTGCCCCATTTTCTCCGTCCGTGCCCCGTCATTCGCGCTGGAGGCCTCCATCACCCACTCCGACCTTCGCTGCCTGGCCGCGATCCCTGATGGGGGTCACGCTGGGGATTCATCGCATTCCCCAGCACCAGGCCGCGCCCTTCTTTTCCCACCTTCAATTGCAACGCACTTCTTAGGCTCAATGTCATCCAGCTCGATGATGAAGATGCTTGCTGCTGCATTGAGCACGAAGTCCAAGTGGGTCTCTGCTGTGCTCAACAGTAGCGGGATCGATAAAACAAGGAAGGTTGTGGTAAGGACGTTCACCAGAGACCAGAGAAAGATGCGCACACTGAGGCCCATGCGATTCACAGAGACGATCTTATTCGCGCCACGCTTGTCAGCAATACTCAGGGTTCCTCCCCGGTTACAGGTAGCGCGCGCAAAGAGCCAGAATTTGAACATGGTGTTGTCATAGACAAGGAAGCCACCTTTCTGCACGATGAGCATGATCTGTATCACAGCGCCTGTAAAGTAGAAGAGCAAAGTTTGGCTGCTGGTGAAGTCCGGCTTGGAAGTGTAGACGGCATATGCATAATAACCCATCAGCAAGCACTGGCCAGCTCCCATCGCAACCACATTCAGCATTGGCTCGGATAAATCTTGGTACCTGTCAGCCGCCTCGCCTTCTTGCGGCGGCGGCGGCGGCGGCGGCTCTGCCTGCTCCTTGGGCTGCTCTACGGGATCCTTATGATGCGGTCGAACTCTACTGAGCCGCTTCCCTACGGGATCCTTCTCCACCCACGACTGCTGCCATTTGTTTCGCTGTAACTGCTGCCATTCGATTAGCAGTGTGGCCAGTGGCGCGGCCGCAAGTACTCCACTGTAGCCTATAAAGATGTCGAGCGTCTTGCTCTGGTTGAGCATCATGAAACCGGCAAAGAAGATTGAGTTGATCGCAAAGAAGAAGGGAGAGATGACGCTCCGCATGTCTTTCCACACGTCATACAGGTACTGGAGATTCAGGTACATGTCTTTCCACACGTCATACAGGTACAGCACGGAGAAAGCCTCCGGTGAAGCAGCTTGTCTGCTCTGCTCTTGCATCAGTCGACTCAGTGGAACCCTACGTTGAGCCACAGATGCAGCATAAAGAAACAATCCGCCGTGCAAAGCGCAAGCGATATAAATCACGATCCACGCAGACGTGTACGTCTCTGTGTCGTTCACCGCCAGCGACACATTGCCATTGACGGCCATGAACGGATCAAGGACAACAACACAACAAGCCGCGTCCGACAATCCAGCGGCAGCCCAACGGAACGATGACGAGAGCTGTTGTGGTGTGCGTTGGGCCAGTCTTTTGGCGGAGATCTGCAGGTGTCAGGTGGCGTTTATTTTGAGCTTAGCCTTCGGTGTTATGAAACAACGCAAGGCGGACATGGCATATCGCTCTCGGGCCCACAGACATCCCGCACACTCGCCGCACACCCGCCGCCCCCGCGCGCGCCCCACCCCGGCCGGGAGAAAGGGGAGTGACAGTTTGGGATGGCAACAGCCCGAGTATGTTGAGTCCTGGCTCAACAACGCAGATAACAAGAGGGGGTGGTCCGGCTCCCAAGTCCGGCTCACGCGCCTCGAGCTGACCCTCTACCGCACTGGTCACTTCCGCCCCCTCGCTCCCAACCCATCCACCCCGCCCCGGGCCGCGCCGCGCGATCTCGGGCGATCTCGCGCTATCTCGGGCGATCTCGGGGCCGCGCCGCGCTATCTCGGGCGATCTCGGAGCGTCGCTCGCGCGGCGTCACACCTGCTCAAAAAGGAAGGAGGTTGGAGGCAGGAGGTCACGCCCCATCCAGAGCGCCGTCGTCGCCGGGTTTTTGGCCCCCGGGTCGTCGCCCGACGGTTGCTGCGCGGGGCAGCAGACCATCGGACGGCGCGACGACGCCCCGTCCGGCACGCTCCCCCCTCCACCCGGCTATTGCCGCACGAGCGCCCTCAGCGGCGGAATTTTTCCCTCGCGCTTCCTTGGGCCCCCGGCAACGCCGACGGACTTCCCGTCCCCCCACCTGCGCCGCAATCACCGCCGTGATTGTCGGCGCCGCGCCCCTTGGCGCCTGTGCATGTCCCGCGTGCCCGCCCGCCAAGGCTGGTGCCAAGGCCAACTCAACTGCCAAGGCTGGTGCCAGGGCCAAATCAACTGCCTGGCTGGTGCCAAGGCTCAAAGGCTCTCCTCTCTCTCTCTCCTCCCTCTCTCCCTCCCTCCCTCCCTCCCTCTCACCCCCCCCCCCTCTTCTCTCCTCTCCCCCTCCTCCTCTCTCATCTCTCCTCCTCTCTCCTCTGCTCTCCTCTCCTCTTCTCATCCTCTCCCCTCTCCTCCTCTCCTCTCCCCCCCCCCTCTCCCCCAGCAGCTTCCTCGAGGCCGAACAGGTAGATCCTCCCTGATCGCTAAGCTACCACAGGGGACGGCCAGGTAGTAGACGTCGTCCGCCGCCGCCTCCGCCGCCCGCGTGCCTCCGCCCCGCTCAGCAAAAAATCAGCATTATATCAGGAGGTGCCAAAGCCGCAGCATCTCCATGAGGTGAGCGTCGTGCGTTTTGCCGCCGCGTGCCGCCGCTGCGCCGACTGGCTCCCGGTTCGAATCGTCCTTCGCGGAGCGAACGCGGCGACACGAGCGCACGTCGCGCGCGTGTGCGCCTGCGACAAGACGAGACGAGAAGAGAAGGAGAAGCAGACGGTTGATGTTTTTGCTGCCGCGGCCGCGCCGCGAGCCCGCGTCTGCTTTGGCGCCGACGACGCGACGCGCCCCGCTGCGTGAGATGGCGCCGCCGCGGAGTCGGCGCCGCGATCAACCGCGCGCCAGCGGCGAGCGGCGCAGCGCGGCCACATGCGGCGCGACGTGCCCGCCGAAGCTTTTTTTGTTTATTTTTGCTTGGGAGGAACTCATGATGAAATTCTGGAAAAACCTGACCGGCCCCTGCGGTGCCCCTACCTACCTACCTACCTGCCACGGCGCAAGCGAAGGCGGACCACACCGTTGGCACGTGTGTCCGCACCTCCGCCGCCCTGCCCTCCGGCACCTCCGGCGGGCGGCCGAGCGCCGCCAGGATCTCGTCGCAGCGGAGCACGACGGCGCGGGGAGCGAAGGTCGGCGCGGCGGCGGCGTGCAGCGCCTCCACCTCGAGCGAGACGCCCTCCGCCCGCAGCCTCTCTACCAGGGAGAGGTACAACCGTTTTTTTAGTATAACGGCTCTTACGAACATTCCCGTAGGAGGACTCTGTTGACAGGGTTTGCGATGAGAAGCGACCCGATGGGTTTGTCGGAAAGAAAGAAACAAAACAGAGAAACAAGGGAGGCATGGTTTTTCTTTTGTTTTTTGCTCGAAGTTCCGCGGGAGCACACAGCGTGTCTGCGGCCAAAGGATTCCACCTCGAGAACCTCGAGCCAGGACCTCGAAAGAACAATCATGTCTAACGATGTTGTGCAGGCGATAGAGTCACTCCCCATCGGTCGATTCCACCATCTACACCTCGCGAGGCAGATCTGCGCGTGGGCCTGCTTTGCGCTGTGCCAGGAGTGCGCAGCTTACATCTTTGATGCTCTGGAGCAACAGTGGTTGCTGAGCGCCGATGATCTGGGCTACTTTGCGTCGGCCTTCCCTGCGGGCTGCGTGGTCGGCTCGCTCGCCTCCGCGGCCTTGCTCGACCGCTTCGGCCGACGGCCAGCGCTGGTCGCTGGGACAGCTGCCGCTGCGTTCTGCGGTGCCCTCGCAGCCGCCTCGCCACGCTTTGAGGCGCTGCTGCTGCTGCGTGGCGCACAGGCGGCGTCGTGGGCGTACGCACAGGCGGCGGCCACCGCGTGGTACGCCGAATTCCTCCCGACGGCCGGTCGTGGGCCGCTAATTGCTGCTGTCTCAATCGGGTGGCCTGGTGAGAGCATCGGTCACGCCACCAGCCTCTCGTCCTCAATCTCTCTCTCTCTCTCTCTCTCTCTCTCTCTCTCTCTCTCTCTCTCTCTCTCTCTCTCTCTCTCTCTCTCTCTCTCTCTCTCTCTCTCTCTCTCTCTCTCTCTCTCTCGCTCCCTCCCTCTCTCTCCCACTCTCTCTCCCTCTCCCTCCCCACCTCCTCCCCTGCCCCCTCCAGTCGGCCGAGGGGTCGCCATCAGCCTCGCCGCGGCGCTGAGCTGGCGCGCAGCCGCTCTCTCCGACCTCCACGAGCGTGTCACGAT